TAATATATAAAAGTCTATAATAAATCTATAATAGTTAACCATACAAAATTATATTAAAAATATATATAAATATATTTAACAGATTGGAAAAATATTTTTGTATAAAGTTATGCAAAAAAATTATTGAAAAAATCAAAAATATTTGACAATTCCTTAATTTACTATTCTTTATAACTATAAAATGCATGACTTTTTTAAAAATATTTCCAGTCCTTTACAAATTAAAAAACAAAAAATACTTATAATATAAGTATAAATAAATAGGTAACAAAGTATTAGTAATCAAAAAGCAAAAAGTAAATGAATTTAAATCACAAACAATTTATAAGTAGACATGTGGTTATGAACAATGTTAATTTTATTAATCTTGAAATTTTGTATTTGCATTATCAAATAAAATACTTATTCATCTTTTATAGATTTGTACAAAATATTTTATATATCATACTACAGATATTTTTATTTATTTTATATAGTTAAACGAAAATTTTGTATCGAAAAACATTATGAAGATAAAATTTGTTATATCATTCTTTTTACAATCTTAAATTGGTTTTAATAAGTATTTTCACACAGTAAATTAATCTTACAAAACTGCTATTTTGACAGCAGATAACTATTCTGCCCTTTGGATACATAATTAATATTTTAACATAATGAAACCTATATATACTGAAAGTAAATATACATTTTAGAATATTCTGAAATTGGGTCTATAGGAATGTGATTTAACCCCTACTTATTTATATCAAATAAACATTTTTTTTAAATGTATGATTACCACAATAAAACTGTAAAAATCATTCTTTTATACAAAGCATATCGCAAATATAAAATGCGAAATTGAATTCAATTATTATACATAATAGATGCAGTAGCTAAATTGACTTCTGTATTTGCATCAGTTAAATCAGGTAAAGATAACATCACTGGGATCACTTGTATTTTTCCTGAATCATCTTCTTGTTGCAAGTGAACTACAGCACCTGATTGTAATATTTCATTTGTCATCATTTCATCTGCCATAATTTCTGCAGGTTCAATATTATCTGCAGTTACTTCTTCAGTATAAACAGTTGTATCTTCCATATTCATTATAACTTCTGCTGCATCCGAAGCCTCTCTGGATGTTTCTTCGTATTCCTAATAAAATGTACATAAAAAGTTATATAATATATATAAAAAGTTAATTTAATAAAAATAAAATAAAATTATAAAAAAAAAATTATATTTACTTGTTCATATACTTGTTCGTATTCCTCTGCTATTTCTTGTTCTTCAAATTTAACTATCTGTTCTTCTTCAAATTTAACTATTTGTTCTTCTTCAAACTTAACTATTTGTTCCTCCTCAAATTGTTGATCTGTTTGTTCTTGATATTCATTTTCAGGAACTTGAGGCTCTGTATTAGCTAAGACTTCTTGTTCATGCTCAGAACAAGAAGAATCTTCTTGTACTTTAGCTTTAATATTTCGACCAAGTACTATTCTTTTAAATCCAGATCCTCCTAAACTTTCATGTCGCCTTTCATGTTTATTTTTATCACCTAAATATTTAAAACGTTGTCTACACACACTACAAGAATATGGTCGTTCATTTGTATGAGTTCTCTCATGACATACAAGAGCACTAACTTGTTTACATCTCCAAGGACAATATCTACACTGTAAAGGTCTTTCATCACTATGTCTATTTTGATGATGCTTAATCAATTGTATTTTAGTCTTTAAATTAAATCCACAGATTTCACAAGTATATGGCCTTTCTTCAGAATGGGATATCATATGAGTTTTTAATCTGAGTTGATTTACAAATCTTTTCGGACAATGTGGACATGGCAAAGTTCCTTCTAATCTGTTATGTGTGACCATCATATGATGTCTTAATCTTACTTCAGATGTAAATGTTAGTTCACAATCTAAACATTTCATAGGATCTTTTTCCATATGCGTATTTTTAATATGTGTCCTCAAAATCATTTCTGTTTTAAATGTTTTATTACAATGATAACATGATGCTCTTTTCTTTTCTGGCGGTCCATCTATATCTTCCTTTACAACACCAGGAAGCAATTCATTATGTATATGAGACATATGCCATTCTAATGATCTAGTTGAAATCATCGATCTATTACATATATGACATGTATATTGTCTACCATCCTTATGAACTCTGTTTCTGTGTATAACAAGTGTTGAATGATTTGGAAATTTTTCACCACATACTTGACATGAACATTCTTTTAATCCTCTACTATCAGTTTTCTCATGCACTCTCATGTGTAATCTTAAACCATCTCGTCTATTAAATCCAACACCACAAGTATCACATCGATATTGACGTTGATCTTCATGAATTCTTACATGTTGTTTTAAAGTTGAACTATTTTTAAACATTTTATCACAGTGTGGACACTGGATAGTATATGCTTTATGAGTATGCATATGCTTTGAAAGACTATAAAATGGTACTAATTTATGACAAACAGGGCATTCTCTTTTATTACCTACAGGTTGATGTTTACGTATTCTATGATGTCTAAGACTTGCAGGATTTTTAAAATCAGCTCCACAGTCTTCACACAAATAGGCTCTTAATGTTGTGTGTACAGATTTCAAATGAAAACTGAGTTTTTGTTTGAATGCAAACTTTTTAGGGCATTTTGGACATTGATATATTTTTTCCCAACTCATGTGTTGTGTTTTTACATGTTGATCTAATGTTCCTTGATGTTTAAACTTTTCACCACATACATCACATAATTGTCCATACATACTGTCACAATGTTTTTGTTCGTGTTGACGTTTTTTTCCTTTTGAATCTAACATCATGTCACAATATTTACATAATAATTTTTTTATACAAATTACATTATGATTGCGTTTTGCTTTATTTGTTGGAAATTCTTCCATACAATCTTCACAAAAATGCATAATTTTATAGTCATGCATTTTCAAATGTTCTTCAAGAACTTCTTTTGAAGCAAATGTTTCTGGACAATAATCACATTCTAAATAATGTTCCTCTGGAATATAATCTGCTGGTTGACTTTCATCTATCAAATCAGGTAAATTATTTTTAAGCACTGCATTATTTCTATCTTCATAAAGAGAAATAATATCCTCATCTTTTAATCTTGTAATTACAATTTTACTTTGTTTTAAATAATCTTGAAAATCTTGTAAGTTTTTTTCTTTTTCTCCTAAAATTCTTGTTAATTTTTCAATATTTCCTTCTGTATATGATTCATCTAATTCTTTTTGAAGAGATTCTTTTTTCTTTTTTGCTTCTTCCCATTTCAACTTAAGTTTTGCTAAACGCGATAAATACTCTTCAGTATTTACATAAGCATTTTCATTAGTAGATTTTTCCTTGACTGATTCTATAATTTCTGAAGTATCATCTTCAATTTTAACATTTTCATTAAATTCATTATCATCTTTATTAAATTGTATGTCTATAACAGTATCATTTTCTATATGTGCAAAAGAACTTTGATTATCTTGCCTTTCATTACGCTTAAAATAACGAGTTTGAGATTCTTCAAGTTTTAAAGGATGCGAAATATTAGCATGTCCACCTAATACTTTTTCTCGTTTTTTCTTATATTCTTCTATTTGCTCTTCTATAATCTGTTCTCTTATTTCTGATTTTTTTGTTCGTTCCGAAAATAAATCTTTTTCTTTTGTAACTAATGTTTCATATCGTTTTAAAATTTTGTCCATTGGTTTAATGTCAAAATTTTTCTTCAATGTAGATTTATCATCTTTCTTCTCCAATGGTTTATCCATTTTTTTAACTTTCACTAACAATATCTCATTTGGTTTAGATCCTTTCACAGTAACATACATAATCCCATCTTCTTGATTGCTGTTAATGTTTAAAGAATTATTAACATCTAGTTTTTGTACTTTTAAGTCTTTATGACTTCCAGTTTTATCAGAAATATTGGACTGACAAATATTTTCATCAGTTTCTTCTATGGATCCCTTTTTATTTTGCAATAATAATCTGCGTTTTAATATGTTTGGTTGTTTTGAACATTCTTTTGTACTTTCAGTATTATATATAGTTTCAGAATTAATAATGCTATGTGATTCAATAGACTGATTATTACTCTCTGTATCTTCTATTTTAATATATGTTTTTAGACGTGTATCATAATTATATGTTGTTTGATTACAATCAATATTTTTATTATCTGAGATTGAATTATTATCAGAAACAAAAATTGACTGTGAACTTTGTTTGATGTTTTCTTTCTGCTGAAAATGTCGTCTTTTTGCATTTGGTATTACTACTTCATCATCAGAATCTGCAACATCAGAACTATCAGGTTGAAAAGGAGGATCATCTGGATCAAACTCTTCTATAGATTCATTATCATCACTGTTTTGTAGAATACTTGAATCTTCAAAAATTTCGAGTTCAGCTTTATTTTCTGATTTTTCAAGATTTATTTTTCCAGTTTTTGAAAGTTCTTGATCATTTTTTTTTAACGAAAAGATTGCAGATATTTTTGGTACAGAAGCATGTTCATTATTTTCTTTACTTGTAGATGGATTTGTTGCAATACTCTCAACAATGTTCTCTGTTTGTTTTTCAAAACTTCCTACAGGTTGAATTTTATTTAATTCTATATTTTTTGTTGCTGTATCAGTCAAAGTAATGTGAATAGATTTTAATTTGACTTCTGCTTTCTTAATTTGCATAAAAAATTTATAACTCATTTTTAAGTCACAAATACAATCCATACACATTTGAGTTGATAAACTATCATATGGATTTATTTCTTCCAAATGTTTTATTTGTTGACTTAATCTCATTTGATTACCTTTTTCACTAAAAATATCAACTAATGGAAGTTTTAAACCAGCACAAGTTCTACAATATTTTCTTAATTCCTGTTTTGTTTGTTCCAATATCGATAATTTCTTTTGTGCAGATATTTTATTGTGCAAAGAAATTTTAGTTAATTCATTTAAACTATTTGCATCATGAGTCAATAATTTTACACGTGGTGTTATTCTCTTTAATTCATTGATATTTTTAATCTGACCAAATACTTCTTTGTTTGATACTATACCAGATTTGTTTGATTTATATGTTGTTCTAATATCATTATCATATGCATTTTGAATATTACTACCGGTATGTTGAAGGTTATGCAATTTCACTTCACTATAATTATGATCCTTGTTTTTAATTTCAGTGTGCTGCATTTTTGATCTAGTCATTTAAAATATTTCCATTGTATTTTAAATTTATATTTAAAAAATTTGTATAACCTAAGGAAAAAAGTAATAAAAATTTAATAAAATCTAATGCATATATTAATAAAGATAAATATATTTCATTTACCTGATTTTTATGTAAAAATGAAAATCCTTGTAACATTACTTGTGCATGCTGTGATTATGATACTTATTATTTTTTTAAATTTTTTATAAAATTATTACATATAGCACATCCTATTAATATAACTTTATTGATTTAAAAAGTAATAAAAATTAGTTAAACTAGATAATATATGTTATTGTTACTTGTAAAATACCGTCGTTATTGATATTTTCAAGCTCTTGAAGTTCACGTCTTTTCTTGCAAAATTAAAAAAATTTTCGATTTTCTTTTTCAAAAAAGATTGAATTTTTTTATTATCACCGTAAGACAAATATAAAATTATGTATTCATAGTCACAGGTATTCATTTTTCATTCAAATTGAGGTTAAGTGAATATAATCATAAGGAGTACGTACTCCTATACTGAATCATAACGCAAATGTAATTACTATGCGTTATATTAGTTTTTAAATTCGTTAATTTTACTATACAATACTCCTAATCAGAAAGAGTAATAACGTTATTCAAAAGTTTTTCCAAACTCTAGCTAATATAATTTCTTCGTAATGATATCCAGATGGCGCAACGTAATGGCGCCTGTAGTGTATATTATTTTTGATCTACGCAACGGACATTCTACAGTTCCGAAATTCATGACTAGTTTTCATTAGCCATAGAACATTTTCGTATGTATTACTCTATAACATGTTATAAAGATTTGTCATAAAATACGAACCAAGAGATGTAATTTCGTAAAAGGAATCGACTAATCTACGCACACTCTGAGATGAAAATTTACACCACGTTCAACTATCGTGTTCTGAAATTCCTTTACTGAAGCTATGACGTTGCTTATGTTCATAATGGCCGCGATTGTGACTTTGTTATTAAAAATATTAAATGTGGAAAATTAAATTTAGTACTCAGCATATATCAAGTACGTAACAATAAAATATGTAATAATAAAATAAAATTTATAGCATTTTAATTACTTTTACCAATATTTGTTATATAAATTTCATGTATTACATACCCATTTGTGCATGAAATCACGAACAATTTAATTGATTAAACAGAAAGTCTTTTATATATTCTTATAAATTATGAATTTACAATTTATAATAAATTATATTTTAAAAAGTTTTTATATATACTGTTTAATCTATTATAAAAAAATATTTAGTAACTTTTGAAGTATTATATATACAATCTAAATAATATAAGAATTTCTTAAAAGCATCTTATGTCCTATATGTCCATTAAATTACTTTTCTTAAAAATCACAATATTTTCAGGATGTCTTATTTATAAAATATATTTTTAAAATATATTTTATTTTAATTATAACTAGATAATTAGAAGACGTTAGAAGAGACGTTTTTAAGATATTTAGAAGATATTACTATTTTTAATATATATCTCTAAAAGTATTCAAAAGATGGCGCTAAGCTTCAATTCTTACTTTATTTTATCTTGCCTTTGAAGATATGTCTTTCGTATTGTATCTTTTTTTTACTATGTGCTGTTCTTTTCTTTATTTATGTATTTCTTTTATGATATTCTAAAGATATGCTGAAGATAATTGATTTCAATATATTTTTATCCTATTTTTGTCCCAATAATTACTCTTCTTATCTATACTTGTTTTTGGTGCATGATCACATATAAAATATAAAAAAGGTAATGAATACACTTTTATAATTTTTCTTTTAAAATTATGTCTTAATTATTTATATAATTTTATTATTATTATTATTATTTATATTTTATTATAATGTATTTTTAAAATGATGATCTCGCAAAATATAATATATATAATTTGATATATATTGCGATAATGTTGCAAAATGCCACTTAGTCATTGCGATAAATTTTTATTTAAATAAGCAATTATAATTTTTATATTAAAATTTAATTTGAATTCAAACCATTGAATCATTATGATTTTATTTTGAATTTCGAATCGATTTGAGAAAAAAGTAAGATCGTAGTGTTCTCGAGATATAGGATAAAAAAATGCATTAAATATTAGATTTATTCAAATCAATTATGTATCTTATCTGTGATATTTCAAATATAAACATTGAAAATCAAATTTAAAAATTCGTTTGTAAAACATTTTGTTATCGACATTAGATAAAATAGAGTTCGTTATTATTATATAGTATATCATTTAAAACGGGATGTGCGAAAATTAAATATAAACTAAAAAAAATTGAGAAATTAAGTTAAGTTTAAAATTGAGATTTAAAATATGAATATAATTCAGAAAATATTAAAATGATAATGATATTAAAATATTAAATATTAAAATGAAATAAATGAATATTGAAATATAAAAAAATTGAAATGATAAAAATATAATATATATTCACACATATTCACTAGATAACTACTTAATATTTTTACTTAATATTTTTTTATTTATTTTAATAAGTTGTAACAAATACAATTATGTAATTATTTTTTGTAATTTAATATATCAATATTATTATTATTTTATAGAAAACATATGTTTGCAATTAAAAATTAGATTTTTATTATTATTTTATTAAATTTTATTATTATTTTATTAAAACAAAGATTTTATTGTTAAAATTCAATTTAAGATTTGTTGGACAATAGAATTGTTTAATTTTATTTTCATTCGTAAAAATAAGTATAATATTTCTCTCAAATTTTTTTCATTCATTTCTTATTTAAATGAAAACGATTGCCCTTTTTCTAATTTTCAAAGTAAATATATATAAATGCTTATATATTCTTTTTAAAACAAAATAATTCATTTATTAAACGCATCTTAATTATAATTTTCAATTTTCCAATAATAACATACATTACCAATTTTCCTTAATTGATCAAGACAATTTTCAATCTAATTTCTTCCAGGGATAAGATAAATTTTTATTGAACGAAGATCATATATGATTGAATTATTTTTTTCAAACTTTTTCATAATAATTACATATTCGTAATCTTTTCTCTCTCACTCAAGTATATATATGTGTATTATATATACTTTTATGAATTTGAAAAAATCGTAAGACAATTTTTTTCTTTTATCAGTATTTGTGAGTTTATTCAAAGGGTAAAAAGAAAAACATTCAAACGTTACATTAACACTTGTATGTTTTGTATTTATATTAACATAACAATTTTTGTGTTTAATAAGTATGGTTGTAGAATCTTATTTGCATGATAAGAACATAAGAAAAGAAATGATACGAATTAATACGAACAATCAATGACTACAACAATCGTTGCGTGAATGACGAATATACATATATGTACGACCATGTATGTAAAACCAACGAATAATGGTCTTTAATAACGTGGAATATCGACAAGTGAAGGTGCACCGAAAAATGAGAGCATTATAAATGTTGTTATATTTGTTAGGTGCGAAATAATTAACATTCAGTTTTCAATGTTTCCATATTATATCCAATTACGGATACATAAGACACATTTCGTGAAAGCTTTATATATATATANAATTGACAAGCTTTCACGAAACGTTCCTAATCTCGCACTTTAATTCACACGGTAAATGTGCATGGCATTATCACGAGTTTACAACTTTCGGTTTATCACTGACCTAACGTCAAAAATCAATCTAATTTTATTAAAGAATATAAAATACAATTATATAACATCTCGTATTGCGATTTAAAAGAAAATTTGTAACAACAACTTCCTACGTTGCAATAAATACATATAGTTCATGCAGTGATATCCTTAGAGATCAGGAACATCTCCACAAGTTTGATCAAGTTCTCGATTCCTTCTAAATAATTTAAATCCAGAGTATTTTGATCCTCTGCTGGGAAGACATGCGTAAAGTCAATCATATTAATTCTAACCCAATTTTGTTTCTCCTCCATGGAACTAGTGAGCTCGTTCAATAAATCATCGTAGTCCTCCTTGATTCTTATAATGTCGTCATCAAAGTTGTTGACATAAGAATGTGTACGACAGAGGCGATCAACTCTAAAGTCCGGACTACACGATTCGCTTCTGCTCAGAGCTTTCTCCTTTCCTGATGAATCGTACTCGCCGCTCAAGCTGATGCTCCTTTTAATAAAATGTACCCTCTCCATCGTCCGATTCCTATTGGTCTCGATATTACTCGAAACTGAATTACTTGTCGCGTCATTCATGTGTTTGAACACACTCGATGTAGTTGTATGGTTATTTGTGGAGGAAAATGACGTGGATACGTGGCTGGGTAATTTATTCATGTTATTTAGGCGGAGATAATGCCGCAATCTTTTCGCGTCATATGCCACCAACAAAGAACTAGAATAAAAGCGGAACAACCGCTGGATACGAAAGAATAGTAAGATCTTCCACAAGAAAGAGAGCAGCATCACGATCAATTGACGACAGGGCGGTCTTTCTGGACTTATATTCAGGAAGATTTTCAGCGCTGCGCAGGAAAGAAAAGGCACTATATGGAATAGTTTGAATAAAAAAAAGTGAATTATTTAAAGTGTTCTGGAAACGGCTTCCAGCGTTTCATTACAATCGTTCCTCATACGATCCAATAGTGATATGTATACCACTTATACGACTATATGTACGTGACTAATGGAACATTAAAAAAACATTTCAATTATAACACTAGCGATAATTCGTAAATTCATAATACTGTGTATATGCCCTATATAATAATTGAAGTTAATAATATACCTTCCACGACACCTTTAGCATCGAGAGTCTTGCCGTAATGTTTGCCAAATTGTTTTAATTGGCCGGAAGAAACACAATATACTTGAAAGCCGGTTATACAGAATCCATAAGTGCGTTTAGATTCGGCGTATTTTAATTCTTCCGTTGCTTTTTTCTCTGGCGTGGCTAAAGGGTCCCACGTTCGTCTACCTATTTTTATATCCATCACGCACGGTTCCGCCATACCATCGGTAATATCTTTCAGCGTAAGGAATGTTACTCCTAATATTTTACGAAAATGATTAATCATGTTGTGTTAAACTGTACGTAACCGAGATTTTTCAGCAATTAAGTGTAGGTAGAGAATCTTGGGATAAACTCTTTAATACTTATTAATACATGCATGGTAAATTAACAATATACTAAGCGTCGAATTTCTATCAATATAGAATACAATCTATCTTCTATTTTACGCAGGAGAGTCGATAAAAAGCAAAATATTTATTTATTTTCTTTATCGTTAAAGATAAACAAAATTATTCCAATTGCTTCATACAGGATATAAATAAAAAAATATTTAAGTCAGAATTATTTCTTGTAAAAAATACCAATAATTGTAAAAAAAAAAAAAAAAAAAAAAAAAAAAAATTTTTTTTTAAAAATTTTTCTTTTCCAATTTTCTGGCCCTTTTTTAAAAAATTTTCCATTTTTTTTTTTTAAATTTATTGTATTTTTTAAAAAAAAATTTTTTTTTAAAAATTTTTCTTTTCCAATTTTCTGGCCCTTTTTTAAAAAATTTTCCATTTTTTTTTTTTAAATTTATTGTATTTTTTAAAAAAAAATTTTTTTTTAAAAAATACAATAAATTTAAAAAAAAAAAAAAAAAAAAAAAGAAATAATTTTTTTTAAAAAATTTCATTTTATCAATTTACGTGCTCATTTTATAAAATTATTCAATTATTTATTTTAAATATTTATCTTTAACTGCGAAAAAATAATTACATATCTTGGTCTCGAGAAACAATATCGTTGACAATATCATCTTTCATCTTTTATCTACTTAAAATGATTTTTTAATACAATTATGATCATAAAAAATATATGAAAAATAGAATTAAGGGAGGATGAAAAATGTAAGAGTATGTATTATATGTAGACAAGTTAAAAATTCGATACTTTTGATATCTTACGTCTGCCAAAAATTTGCAACTCTGTTGTGCCGTAATATCTTGGAACATAATTTTTCAATTGTAACATAACAGGATCTTGAGATATTTGTAAATTTTCATAAAACGAGATTTCTCTTTTCCCAAGTAACGGTTTAACAACAGGTTTATATACACGGCCGTCTGATCTACGTAACATGCCTACAACATTTATTAATGTTTTTATTACATCGATCGTGACATAATAATAAAGATAAAAAAAAATATATATATATATGTCATATGAATGTAGAATTTTAAATGAGTGTAGAATAGTAATAAGGAATATATAGATTATTACATTTTTATACGAGACATCGAAATTTTATAATTGAGTTTTTAAAAATACAATTTAATTCGATTTAATAATAAAAATAGTTTCTTTTATATATATATTATTTCTTCTTTATTTTAATATAATAAAAAAATAATTTACTTATTAAAGTAAAGTAAGTAGAATATATAGTGCATTCTTCTAAAAATAATCGAAATTATTTCTTTAGAAAGGAAAAAAATCAATAAAGCGTATTGTATCGTTGTTTTTTTTTTTATCAAATTATGAAATATTAAAATAGTCGAATAAAATTATTTTCTCAATAATCTTTCATTTTCCACGGCATTTAATTCGATCAGGTGCTTACCAATCGTCTGCCGTTCGATGTCTAACGACGGATGTCCGGCTACCCGAGATTCCAACGGGCTTATTCCAACAGGAAGTCCATGATCGGATGGAATTTCAGCTAGCTCCGTGTTAGAAAGCTTATCAAGATTGCTTAAAGTTTTATCGGTCTGTGAGTCTAAGGTCGTCATCGTTATTGCACTGAATGGTATGCAGTAATTACTTCTGCAATTAAAGAGTTGCACGATTCGCAAAGATCTTATCTTCGCTGCAATATCCACCTTAGCCACCAGTAGTTAGTCATCGAAACTTATCTAATTATCTTCGGCTGTCTTACTTCCGTCTATAAATACAAATTTCAATTGATGAAGAAGCTCAACATAGTAGAGACAGAATATATTGCATCTACTTATAGATTATGATATTATTAAAGTATAATTAAAATAATTGAATGATCTTCTTCAAAAGACATTTCAATTAAAAGTAAGACGTTTTTATTTATATATTAATATAATATTTTGAAATGTATTATATTATCCATTTTTCAAATAATGTAGAGAATACAAATAAAATTCGAATTTTTTTAGAAGAAATTTTAATATATGCTCTATAATTGTAAATTAAATATATAAAATTATAAAAATAAATTTTTAAAGAAAGATTATAGAAAAATAATTTATTATTTACATTTTACATATTTTACATATTTTTGGTACTAAATTTTAATATTATGATAATATTAATATTAATTTAATTATAATATTAATATTAACATTTCTAAAGATGAAAAATATATTATTATATAAAACATGCATCGATGTTTAAAAAATCTTCCAAATGTCTTATTTTTTTTTTTTTTTTTATTTAATAAAAATTCTATTGTACTACTGTATCGATAACTTCATTCT